AACATTGGAGTTTACATACAAAGAAGTACAATTGTATTTTGTCCGTAAACAAACTTTTCACCTCAGATCAAAAAGGCTGGATTTTTTGCAACGAATAGCCTCAATACCTTCTGGCTTCAATATATTTTATCACTATCATTGAATATGCATGGTGTAATGCGCAGTCGAGCCCATGTGCTTTTCCTTTAAGAAACGATGTTCCCATGGGAATTTGTGACGAATTGAAAGGATTGTGAGCAGGCTCGTTCATATGACTCGAAAGCCCGCTTTTTCTTTTAATCCCTTTAAGGAGTGACACTTTTTCTAATTGGCTGACGATTTACGGATGTCCGCATAAGATAACTTATTTCAAGTGATATCTAAGTAAAATGCTAGTGATCACGAACAATAGCTTTGTCTGATTTTATTTATCGTTAACTCCCTTTAATTAATTTTAAGTTTTTTCTTTTTGATCTAGGTTTAAATTAATATTACCGATCAAATCTAAATCTAATGAATAACATTGACAGAGTTTGAAGAGGATCGATTATGACAATGTCCTTAAGTTTTAGCAAAGAAGGGCAAGACCTGAATATCATTAAAATAAGTATTCAAACAATTGGAGACAACGATCAAGTTATAACTGTATACATTGAAGCGTCTTTCCTTTTCTACCAAGTGTTTTACTTTTTGAGAGAAGATGGCATAACATGTCATTATTGACCAAAAAAAAAAAAAACTAAGATGACATCGAAAAATGTGATCTCAAGACTGCTTAAAACGTCATGTGTGAGTATTGTTTGACTTCATAACCTAGTTATTATCAAAGATGAATCACGTGTATTATCTTGACCTTATTTGCTTTGTGACAAATAAACTGTTAAGATCAAAATTGTACCCTTCAAAGGGGTAACTAGTTTCTGGACTCACGTGCTCTAAAATTCGTGTTCACTCATACACCTTAATGTCAAAAATGATCTTGGTTAATTAAAAGAATGAACTTCTTTTGAGAAAGATATGGATATGCGGCCCCGCTTGTGATGTTTCACGTTGAAAACGTAGTTTCATGATAATGTCATGCTTTTTATGTTAGTTTGAGACCTCTTACATGTTAATGAGGTTTATTTTACCTGGATACCTTGATTTTTACCCAACATTTTATCGCCTAACATTAACGCATATTCCGATGTATATAAGTACTTTTTGTATAAAAACAAAGTTTGATTAAAATACATTGAAAAACTAAAATGTCGACTGTAAATTCATATTTGGCAAATGTACAGAGGACCTACAAAGTTTTTCTGTTGCGTAAATGTTTGGTATTACGTGGTTCATAGATTGTGACTTCTTTGACGCCTAGATATAATTCAAAACAAATATGTCAATATTTGCGGTTTAATATCAGTGTTATACACAATCTATGTTTGAGTAGTTAAGACGTCAGTAACGACGGTGATATTGTTACGTTACATCGTCTCTTGTTATTTACGATCAGTACATATAATCTCAGTAATCGCGTGCAACAACACTTGCTTTCGTCTTTAAATACCTTTAAAAATACCATTCTAAAGAAATTTAATTAAGTCACCTGATTGAAACAGAATAAAAGGAACACAATTATTTAATAAGTGTCAAAGAAATTTGGTATTGTGACCAATTTTGAAATAAACCTATTGTCGGGTTGTTAGAAAAATGCGCAATTTTTCTGCCCTTGAAATGACATGAATTAAAATATCACAGGCGCATAATAAGAAAACAAGGTCGGTTACAACCATATTTTTTGCTTGAAATAATTTTATTTCTAGTATGATATTATCAAATCGCACAATGTTTAAACAAATATTGACGTGCAGTCTTCGGTCGGGTATTTGTCTTGCATATGTAACTGTAGCATAAAACTTTATACCTTTTACGAAGATTATCAATTGTTTCCATTTTTTGGCCGGGTTTCACAGGTGCACATCCTGATTAAAATCTTGAAACAAAGTGATCCCTCGGAAGCATTAATCACAACAAAATTACAAGAGAATTGCAGACTCGGTTTGATTGAGTCTGTACATGAGGGATAATGAATACGTGCAACACCCCTCACGACCCCTAGCACCGGCTTGAGCGGTACTCAATTTTCAACACTTAATAGTGCTGGCATCAATGATCCCGAAGGACAGAAAATATAACAACACAGAAGTGAAGTACGGGGCAACTTTTTACAGCTGCCACACAGCACTTGACACCTGCTGTTGTGAAGTATAAAAAATGGTGAATGTCGGGCGGCGAGCGGACGTGCATGCGCCGGACGGGCGGTGAAAAGTAACGTATGTTCAGTTTTCTCAGCAATTACTTATCACAGCCTCTTGATTTTTAGAATAAAGCATAAACACGTGGCCCCATACCATGGGATACAATATCATGTATGTCGCTTTTCCACTTCCTTTTTCCCGACTCAGTTAAATTTTCGACATTAATGGTCAATGGTAGGAAATTTTCGTGACAGTTTTCTCAGCAACTAAGTATCATAACCTCTTGATATTTGGTATACAGCATAAATACTTAGTTCTATACCGCGGGATTCGATTTCAGATATGTCGCTTTTCCACTTCCTGTTTATCGACTTAGTAAAATTATATACTTGGAGAACTCACGTGAAAAATGGTCATTTTGCCTTTAAATGGGGAGGTTAAAGGTAAAAATGACCATTTTTCTCGTGAGTTCTCCAAGTATACCACAGAATCCCGTAACCTTTTTCAGGAACTCCGTGACAGTTATCATAAGAAATCCAAACAAGTTATCATAAGAACTCCATCCTTCGTGTAACAGTCCCCCCCCCCCCCCCCGTGAAAGTGCGATCGTCTGCTTGATGTTAAATATGCATATGTACCTGTGTAACGCACTCTGGGGTTACACTTTGACACCAAAGTGCGTCTGACCCCAAAATGCGGTGTTACACAGCCTCATGATAATTGGTATACAAATGCAACCCGGCCTTTTCTGTCTTTGACCCATTTTTATATCTTATCATGTGTTAATGTAGACTTGAAATCAAAGTAAAATTTATTAAAGAATCGATTTCTTATATTTTAAGACTACGTGTGAACATGACGTCATCTGAATACATATCGAATGATACATTCTAAAATTACATTATGCTTATTATAGCCTCGAATAGTTTAGCTGATAATAGACTTAAAGAAGAACGAGGATTTACATTGTTTCATAAGGCCCAAACTAGTTATATTATATTTAAACGATCAGAAGATAATTATTTATTTAAAATGTTGTTGGTTTTTTTACGAATTCGGTATAAATATTATTAAAAAAATAAAAATTTATCTGTCATAAGTTAAAATTTTGCAAAAAAAGAACAAATTTAGTGTCAATGTAATTGCGTTGTAATTACGTGAAACAAAACCTTAAAGGTGATCTACACCATTGCCACATAGTTAGTTATGACAATATCTGTCATTTCTTCGAAAGATAAAGTTCACATAACTGTCAAAATAGAAATGTGTTCAATTCCACCGTTTTGTCAATCTACTGACAAACAGAAAGACAGACCCAAACCGATTAGCGCAGTTGTGATCTGTGCTGTTGAGCAGAATGGGTTATGACAATATTTTTTTGATTTAAAATGATTTTTAAATAACTATCCAACTTGAAATTTGTCTACAGACTTTTTGAACGGTTGTAACAAAAGTCAAGGGCATTTTCTCTATAAATATTGAACTTATATACAAACAAAACCCTAGGTGCACAAGCTTCACATGCTATATCATCATTATGACGTTAACACTAACGTATCCCTTACATTAAGTCAAAATTTCATCATGTGCATTTCAAGACGTGTTGATTTTTTTCCCTGTTTACATTTCTAATAGTATATTGTGAATTTGTGAGAATAATACGTATGCTCTCATATTGCCCATGGATTCCTGTAGATATCTAGTTAATACAGCAGCTTATTGTACCCCGCCTTTTCGAAGAAAAAATGGGGATATATAAATAGGCTCCGTCCGGCTGTCAGTTCGTCCGTCACACTTACGTGTTCGGTTCATAACCTTGTCATTTATCAAAGGAATTTGAAATAACTTGGCACAAATGTTTGTTATAATTAGATGATGTGGCATGCCCAACAACCAGACCCCTACCTCCAGGGTCAAGGTCGCACTTGCTCATTATAAGTCAACATTGTCTCTTTGAGGGTATATGTCGTGTCGGTCCACAGGGATTTTGTAAATACTTGCTAGTGTTGTTCACAATAATGAGACGATGTGTCATGCGCGACAACCAGTTACCTATCTCCAAGGTCAAGGTCACACTTGGAGGTCAAATATTAACATAGTCTGTAAAGATTATATTTTGTGTCCGGTCCATAACTTTTTAATAGATAAAAGGATTTTGAAAATACTTGGCACAAATAGTCACTATAATAAGACGGTGTGTCATGCGCAACATCTGCATCCCTACCTCCAAGGTCAAGGTCACATTTGCAGGTAAAAAAACTTATAGTCTGTTATAGGGAATATTTTGTGTCCGATCTAGAAAACTTCTTCATAGTTCAAGGGATTTTGAAATGACTTGGCACAAATAAACACAATAATAAGACGATATGTCAAGAAAACACCTGCACCCCTACCTCCAAAGTCAAGGTCACACTTAGAGGTTAAAGCTTAACATGATAGATTTTTAAATTCCATGTTACATTTTATTTTTTAAATAAATGTATTGATGCATTTGCAGATCTAGCATTGATCATAATTTTGGACTGAAAGTCCTGAGATCCATACCTCAATCTTTTGAAATAGCCAATTGTATGCTTCATATAAAACTTCCGTCGGTAACTCTGTTACAAATTTTTGTTCAAAATAATTTGGTTTTTTCTCTTTCTGAAAATAGCAATAGTTTCCGTCTACATGCAATACCGCGTGACTTTTACAAAGCTAATCTACTGTAGGTTAAGGGCGATTTAACCACTCAATAACTTTGACTCAAATCTTCCAATATACAAAAAGTCTGGATGATTTTGTTTTATTTATTTTATGTTCACAATTTTCACAATAAAAGATTATATCAGCAGAACAGTAACGGAAAATGAATTAAAGCGCAGAAATGTATAAGTATTGCGAATCAAAACAGTGACGAATTTAAGAAAATCGAAAGTCTAGAAAACAGGAAGCATTTAAAAAAATTGAAAAAAGAGCAAACAAATCAACGCCTTCTGATAGTGTTTTTCCTACAAAAACATTGGAGTGTACTCAAGAGTTAAACTGTACCATTCGCTGTATTTTTATTGTAAAACAACAATTGTTAAAGTCAGTGAAGCGAGGACCGATGATCATCGGTCCAAGGGTTGACTGACCTTACTATATAGTCGTTTAAACAGTGTTGGAACTTAATCAATTTTGTTTAAAGTACTAACTAATACGATTCAAAAATATAACACATGACACATATATAGAGAGCGTTTATCAGTGTATCATATAATGGTAGATCAATATGAACAAACTCTTAGTAAACTCTGCACAAATATTTGTTAAATCGCTGGTTCAAATTCTACATAAAATTTAACATTATTCTAATTGTTAATGAGTAGAAGTGTCTTTAAACTTGTTTTAAGTATTTTCATATTAATTGTTTCATATTTAATACAAAAAGTCATAGAGCTTTACATCGTCTTGTAAAATTTTATGAAAAATAAACAATAGTAACCACACAAGACTCTTGTTTTGTTTTGATAGTGTGTGTTGTTATATTTTAAATTGGGAAGATAATCAATTAGTTACTTTGTAATATAAGACAGCAGGTCTTTTAATGGTTTAGTAATATTTATTCATAAACCGTCGCTGTGTACTTAGGCTTTTTCTCTTTACTAAAAAGTGTTTGGCTTTTCAACCGTAATATCACCTATGGTTCAAAGAAATGAAATTGACAATATGTCATAAACTGATTTAATTACTCCTTTGCCGGGTTGTTCTCAATTTTTCAGGAATTCCTCGTTTTGAGCAGTTGTGAAGTAATTTTGATCCTGAAAATAAACAACAAAAGTTGTTTTGTATATTTTATTACAAGGTAAAATATCTTAGTTAATATGAGATGTTCTCTTTAAAATGGCAATCAAGTAGCCATGTTTGAATTCTACTGCATTCTCAATAAAGGTTTAAACATTTGAATCAAAAAGAATAAAGAGTTTCATTGTTAATAAATGAATTACTTACCGGTAAATTATGTTCTCTGTGGCTCTCATCTTGCATTGAACTAACCATTGGCTTGTTTTCGTTTAATTGTACTTTCGGGTCTTTGCAAATACGGCTTTGAGATTCTGAAAATAAATACTCTGATTGAGAATAATTTGATATCTTAATGCCCTTTTAAATTGTTTGAGTGCAAACCCGAGATAATGTGCTATGTTTTTATATTACAATCTGGAAAGTAAATTAGATTTCTTCAACATATTTCATGTCCACGTATGTTTCAATGAAGTTCGTTTACATGGTTATAATTTTATTATGATGGTCATAAACGTATAGTAAAAAGTAATTCATATAATCTCAATAAAAGTTATATAAAAATGACAAGCGACAAGTATATACTTGGTGTAAGGCCAAATGTACTAGATCCTCTAGCTTTGTTTATTCTTTCATCGCCATGTGTTCCAAAGTTTAAATCAATATCGACACATTCTGTACTTTGGGCGGACAAAAACTTCATTTCTTCGTCGTTTTCATTTATGTCGTTATGTTGAGGAAGGCCGGGTTTTTCGGCATTCACTTTCGCACCATTTTCAAACTGACATTTAGCTGCAATAAAATATGTTCATATGGAAAAAAAATATTATTTACTGACCGCATATAAGAATCTATTTTCGAATAATTGTTTTAAATCTTTTGTACCTTTATCCCAAAAGAGGCTGAGACTATTTTTTAGGTCTAAAGTTCCATGACCTTATTATATAGACAAAATCAAAACGTAACGAATTCGCGAGCCTTATAAGAATAGAAAGCATGTCATATCGGAAGCAGAAAAAAAAACAATATGATATTTCAAAATAACATTTGTCAAACGCTTAAACGCCGGCAGATTGATTGCATTTTACTATCAATCATTTACATACATTATTTCAACTTCTGAAACACGTAAAAGTTCTGCATAATTATTATATTTGCTAATAATTTAAGATAAAAAAATGTCTTACAAAATTAAACCGTGACATTGATCAGGAGTAGAACTGCAGACTGACGTCACCTCATAGTAATTTTCTCACTGCTTAATAGTATTTTACTATATACGTTATAAGTTTTACTCGTTACCAGTCTCGACATAATTTATACTTTAGTTATAGGTTTCATCTTATATCGTACCATTTATTTTTATAAGACAGTCACTTAATAAACAAACGTGTATTATAACATATAAATATCAAATCAAGTATTTTTGAATAAACTTTATAAAAAATACATAAAAACTTTTTTTTCAGATACAATATTCAACAATTAGAAAATCCTTGAATTATTCCTGCAGAAATCTATACCACGAATAGAAGTCAGATTTAATGAACAGAAATATTAACTTCACGATAAAATACTAACATGAAGATGTCTCATTAACTCCCTTATCTTCTTTTTCAGACGACATTCTTCTGTTCCAAGAAAAAATTAAGACAATTTCAGATTAAAAATGAATGACAAGTTGTGAAGGCATAAAAAAATTTTATTGCGCAATACACAGCGACTTAAAGGCACTCCATTATGGTTCAAAAACCCTAAATACATAACAATTTGTTACAAAAATCAGTAAGGTCACTCATTACAGAAATTTATAGTACAATAATTGAAGAATTTTTCTCAGAAATAACTTGAAAATTGTGTTTTTGAGCTAGTCTTAACCCGGTTTGTGTGAAAAGCAACGCTTCACAATGTTTGGTCATTTTCAGCAATTTGAATTGCTATGAAACTATAAAAAGGCTTTAATACTGTTCAAACTTGGCACAAATGCTACCTGGACCATAACCTTTGTAACAGTATACTCAAGTTTATCTTTCCTGTTACCATGGCAACGTTGGGACATCTCAAAATTGCCAAAAATCACTATTTTGAGTTGACTATCCATCAAAACTGAGTTCAAAGTGCTGCAACTTCTCAATGGATTAGTATTGAGTCAAAAGTTTTCCAGCGTTGGTTATCCGTTACCTTTAGGTCGACCTGAGGCCTCTTTAGCCTCTCACAAGACATTTAGGGCAAAAATATGGCATTTTTCCACTACTTTAAGTACAATTAACAATCACGAACAAAACTTGTTCTTAAACTTATATCAATATATATTGCAAACATAAGTTAACTTGGAGAAGGTTTTTTCAACCATATTCACTCTTTCTAACCAATTAACATATACATGTAACTGTCAACCTTTCAACAAAACGAAACATAAAGTTGGCTGACTGGAGAGAGACAATATTTAGATAACAGGTACTTGACCAATATGCTTTGTCTATTTGTGATTAGACAATTATACTATATATAAAAGACACGGTAACACAATATAACATTATTATCCATTATATATTGTATATTAAAAGTAAGAAAGGTTACTTTCATAAAGTTGTTTCGAAATAAATCGGCAACAGAACCTAGAAAGACAATAGGTATTTGTAATAATTGTATGTGAATTCCGCATTAAAACTTTTTAAAGCATCTTATTAAATAGTTTTTTCTTTGTTAAAGAATTAAAATTTAAAGATTGTCAATTTGTTAAGAAATAAACTGCTCAGTTATTTTAATTTACCACGAATCAGCTTATTTTCAATTGTTTTACATTTCAAATTTCATTAAGAATAGAAAAGGCTGAGAATCTAACTTTACCTGCTTCGAAAGTACTTGCCCTTGCGATGTACAATTACAGTAACTGTCAGTACTAGTATTGCAAGGAAACTAAGCGTAGCAACAACTGCTATATATACGCTGCTGTTTAATTGTTCTTCATCTGCAAAGGGAATCAATTAATTACCTTTTGCAGTTTAATCTACCCTTTTACCAGGAATAGAAATAAAAACTTAGTTAAAATACAAAGTACAAAATTAGTTAAGATCAGAAACTTCATTAATGATATTCCTATGTTTAGTAAATTCCTATACATACTAGTTTGCAGCATAGGATGTCAAAACCAGAGATTGTCAGCTTTCACGCCAACCTTTTAAGCTAATTTGTGTCATTTATTTTTACAGATAAAACGACAATAAACCTTCATCTACAAAATTTAAACTACTTGTTGATATATCGTTTCGACGGACATTCTAACAAATCAAAAATCACCGAATATAAAATACGGTATATTCATAAAAGCATTTGCTTGAGTCTGAATGTATACATGTAGGAAAGCCACAAATTGTACTTTAAAAAATGATTTCCCAAGAATGTTTTTTCAGGAAACCTATTTTTTGAAAATATTTCATTTGAATTACTAAAACAAAATCTAATGTTATGTCTCGCTCTCAGTATGCTGTTAAAGTGTCATAACAGAATTAGGATTATTATGAAAAAACCTAACATTTTAAGCCATTAGTTAGTTCGAAAATATATTCATGGTGAATAGAAAAGGGAAAATCATTAAATACTTGTATATACAATTAGATCTGAGTGACATGCTATGTAAACACAGCAGATGTTTGAAGACTAAGTCCGCCCTTCAAAATATGTGTGTGTTATCGGACAAATGTCATCTTTGTAAAAATGGTTAAAATGGGGAAATTGTCATGTTGCACCGGCAGGATATTATCGAATAAACAATAATCACCTTGTTTTCTTATTTATGTACGTTCTGTGCCAAATATCTGAAAATGAATGACTTTGCTCTCATTCCCGTAACATCGCTGACTTTCAAATAATAAATTTCCCCCTTCAAAACTGCCGTAGCGGCAATTATTTGCTAATAAAGTAAACTTCATGCCATTTCCGCAAATCAGAATCATTTGTACAGCTTGTATTTGCTTTTTGCCCCTATGATTTTTGGATTGATTTCTGTTCAACATTACATTAGCCTACAAAAAAAAGAAAACATGTCCACAAAATGTGAAGTTCATGTCATGCGTGCATTAACCATTTAGATCGGATTGGGTGTTACCGAACACTTAAGTGAAATAATAGATTCGATAATGCACCAGTACACCTTGACAAATATGAGTTTTCTTTTACATAACACCTAATTACGCACTTTTAATATAAGAGAGTAAGACATTTATACCGATCATATTGGTAATACCGTACAACATGCGTTATTTTCAACACTGCCAACATTTCAATAAAATTTTATCTTCACCTGAAAATAATAAGATTATAAAATATCATTTCATTTTGTGGTGTATTTCATAGCACACAGTATTTGAGGTAGACTTGGAATCCCATACTTTTTTGTTCCTTGTTTCAAAATGGTTTGAACGAACATGGTCAAGCATTTCTGCTGAGTGTATCGCTGCCGTTTTGCGCCTATCTGCATGTTTATTCATAAAGGAATTATCTATAATTATATTTGTCTGTCTGATCTTTTTTTAACTTTAACTAGAGCTATTTATTTATCTATTTATTTATTTATCTTTCTACCTATTTGTTAAATGAATGAATGAATGAATGAATGAATTGATTAATAATTGATTAGTTATTTTGATTTATATATTTCTTAAAATGTATTTATTTATTTATTTATTCATATGTATAAAATTATCTATTTTACAACTAGATCTATAACTATATTCAGATAAGTTTATTAAGCTAAAATAATGATAACTGTGTTGTTTAATCATTGTGAGCACTGTAGGAGCACATTTGTCTCGGAGCACATTTGTCTTACGTAAGTCCGATGCGGTCGTATTTGTCCCATGGCCATGCAGAGTGAAAAAATAGATTCAAATAACCTTTCCGTCATTACGCGACAAGGCCTGGTGGCTCCTGCGATGTTTCTTTAACCATTGTCAGGCCTTTGACAAGCACAAACACGAAGCGATTTTACTGAGAGACACGAAAAGCGAAATTTCTGTAAACATGAAGCGAGACATCATATTCTACCGTGAAATCTCGTGATACGGGATGCTTCGGCATTGCGAGATCTCGTGTTACAATACCGTGCCTCGCTTCGTGTCTCGTCCAAATGTCGCGTCTCGCCCGATTCTGCGAGGCCCGATATTCCATTATTATGGCATTCCTCGGATTCTTTAAGAAACGCATGCACGTTGTAAGTGCTTTATTGACGGCGGATCTGTAAACAGCATTTTTTGGAAAATAGCATATATTTTTTTCTTTTTGATGAAAACAAAATACGTGTTAGATGGTCTTCTCAATTTCTTCCTTAGATCATGTACGGGCCTCCGTGGCCGAGTGATTTTTTAAAAAAACACTTGTCCCTAACCACTGTAGGTTCGACACCCACTCTGGGCGTAGAACTATTCATGCGAGGCACGTAATAGAAATCGCATGCGCACGCAAAACTATCCATTTAGAACGTATATTTGCTATCGAAAATTTTATACCATATGTTACCTTGTTGTTACTTAGAATATTTCTTAAATCATTTATAAAACTTTAAGCATCGGAAAGATACGTGTCACAATTAATAACGATAAGAATGGACTCGCTGCATATGTGTTAGGGTTCTGGGTACTGCAGTGGTAGAAATTTTCATTGTGACATGCAGAACAGGACACTGACACTTCGAGACAAATGTTCTCCGAGACAAATGTGCTCCTACACAGCACTATGTTCGGTAATACATAACTTTGAATTTGAACATGCAAATAACTCAGTAAATAAATATCTAAGTGACATCTGAAGTTATTTTGCACATCACAGAACATTAATTAGTTTAACAAATAACATGAAACGTGTGATTAATCGAAATCACATGACCATTTAACCTTATGACGTCAGGTATCTAAAATTAGAATATTTGTAATAAAGTACCAATTGTCAAGCGTCGTGGTATTTAAGTCTTGAAAATCTTTGCTGGGTCACGGTGGAAAAGTAAAAGATATGTCGGGAAAGGAAATGACATCATGTTTATGATGTCACTGCCTTATTAGAGGAATACTAGGAGGGTTAGGGTGAAAAGAAACTTATGTTCGGCAATGCACGCATGTTCGGTAATACCCACACCCGCTCTACTGACTATCCAATCAAATGTTCGCATTTATAGATTTACAATAAGTGAACCAATATAAACTTTGAAATGACATTATAGTTTCATTTGATGTCTTATCATTTTGAAGTTCAGTGTGTAATACGAATTAAAAAAAATTCAAATGAAGTGCCATCGCACTTATGTTTGTGATAATACATGATGTACATCTTTCTTACAATGATATAGATATTTCAGCACAAACGAGGACTCCTGTTTACTATATTGCTTAAAAGATTGTGTTAAACTCATGTGATTTTTCTTCTGTAAATGTCATGATGTTTGCGCTAATACTGACTTTGTTTCTATTTTAAGTAGAATGCAATCTGTTTTGTTTTTATAGCTTTTGATTTATCAACACTTTTTTTAATTATTGTTCATGTATTTTCACCTAAATATGTTTATAATTCTGTAAAGAAACATACGTTGATCTTTATCCATTTGAAGGAAACGTGTGTGTCTTGTGAAATGCAACCAGACGCAGCTTTAATGCTCCTAGTATTACTATCATCAGTCAGGTAAGGCTCGTAGTCTGTAACAGATACATCATGAGAAAAGGATACATACCGAAACTAATGTGTACATTTCAGAGAATGGTTTATTTAGAAAACTATAAATATTTTTGCAATACTTTAATGTGACAAAACATTTTTTTAAAGGTGACAATATGAATAATTCAAGCAAACTGTCCAACATATCTCTGTAAACTGATAGTGCTCAATGCTACGATATAAATTATCAACCAAATTGAGAAGCTCTATATTTAGCCGGGTTTGTATCTCAGTGTTTTGCTCCCTTTCTCAACGTTATACCCCTACGTTTTATGGTTTAGGGTGATGTAATAAAATATGATATAATTTAAGTAACTTTTGAAAATTTTGATAGGGATTGTCATACTAATTGCATTTGAAGTAGTGTAATAATACATATACTGCTAACTTGTACCTTTCTTGGAAAAAGAGGATATATTGGTGCGTAAATAATTATTACCTCTGACATTCATGTTATAAGAAACAGTGTTGGACCCATCCGAACAAACCAACATTTGTCCGTTGAGCTCCATGGTTACCTTTAGTACTGTCAAGTCAAAATAGCCCTGTGCCATGTCAAACGAAATACTGTACTGTTCAACATAATCTGGATTTAATATGCAATCTTCTTGTATACATTTTGCTATCGGTTTAATATCGTTTGCCTTCATCCACTCAATGGCAAATGTGTTCTTCTTAAAAATGCACGACAGTGTTATGTTTTTTCCACACTCACATGTTTCATCAGCCCCATTGTCTTTTCTTTGTATAGCGATATTTGCACCTGAGATCATATTTCAAAAACAGCATTACAATTTTAATTTATATGTTTACAGAAAATAACATGAAGTTAACAATGCAACAGATAAAATGAAGCAACCTAGTAATTATAAGGAAATACAACAGTTTAAGGTTTTATCGGAACAGATTCTACGTTTAAACAATAAACAGATGTTTTTTATTTTACATAAAAACAAACGTTCACAAAGGATTTGGATTTCTGATGGGAATACAAAATAAACGTTTCAGTTTTGAGTGACGCACATAAGTTAAATTGACATTATGCCCATCCAAGGGTATATAGTGTTTTAACGGGTGAAAGTTAAAATAAGTTTTCATTTTGCAATAATTTTTATAATTTAATAATTAAGTTCGCATATACAATGAATAACTCACAGATCCAAACGAAATTTCTTTAAATATCCATAAGAATTTACCTATAACGCTTAGTTTATAAAAAGAGTTTGGGCAGTCTTTTTAAATTTATAATTTTACCCTAAACATTTTCCAATATCAACTGTTCGTCAATCACCATTTTGACAGTCAATCTTTTTAAATATAAAGTTAATTCAGCTCAACTTTACCATAAAAATATGAGCATAATGTCATGAATTGGTCTCTTAGTTAACACTAGCGTGTTTTATGCGTTATCACTATGGTATCACGAATGATATTCTTGGATGTTAAATGCATATGTTCTTTAAGCATAATATTGTTAATGTTTCCAGAGATAAAAGTCTTCTGTGGAAGAGAAAAAAAGCTGCATTTTATATATATGTAAAATAGTTTGCAATCGGTTTGAAAAGCAATTATTCTACAATTTTAATCAAATATTGATCAGAAGTTTTTTTTTTTTTTTTTTTTTTTTTTTTTTTTCAAAGAAAAACCTATAGATAATACTTGGAAATAAAGACTATTATTTGCTCTTGCACGCACACATGTACTCAGACAATCGAAACGTCAAAGTGACAAACTATTTTTAAAAAAAAAATAAGACCACGGCAAATATGCCGTTAAACTAAAGCCATTCTTGTTGATTTTCTGTTAACGTTCAAATTAGTATTTCGATTTCACAACTAGAAGGTTCCAAGCATTGACACAAAACACATTCTGGCCGTCTTGGCAACAACATTAGTATGGGTGTCGTCATTAAAACCACTTTATGAACGAATTGTAGCAATTTCTGTTTTTATGACTGCTATAAAATGCAGTTTTAATTATGGATTTTAGGCATTTAAAGTTTTTTTATCATTTATCATCAGTTTGTAGCGCTGTGTGTAAGACTATTTGTCATAAAAGTAGCAAAAAACGTAAACAAAGTCGTACTTTGACTTCGTTACAAAATATATTCACTATTACTGTAGTAATCAGCAAAAAGCAACAGAGACAAAACATTTTTTTTTTTAAAGAAAAATAGTAGCTTTTAATTTGAAGGAACTCTACTGAGGTCCAAACGCCTAAAAATAAATCAGAGAAATATCTGAAAGTGACAGAAATATCTGAAATATTGGTCTAGACCTACACTTAATGGAAAATTGTCTCGATAAATTAGTTCAAGCCTCATCAAGTTAATTCAAAGCACAGAAGGCGCTGAATTTGTTCTGGTCTCAGAATGTCAGAAAGGTGAAGGTTTTGAGATTTTAAACCAATTTGTTTATTATAGGATCACCAATGCTCTTTCCAGTGTTATAGCTATAGTAAATTGGCTATCAGACTAATTGCAACACTGATATTCAATTCAATATATACCATATTATTCTAAATTAGAGTTTGTAACACTTATCTTAATACTTTTATCTTGAATCTTTTTACTTTTCCTAAAATCTCAGTAGCTTTTACTAAAGTTTTAATTTTTCTGAAATATTTTAGCTCATCTGGAGGCATGCAGCTTTAAATGTTGAATTGGTCTCTTAGTTAACACTAGCGTGTTTTATGCTTTATCACTATGCGTGTTTTATGCGTTATCACTATGGTATCACGAATAATATTCTAAATTAGAGTTTGTAACCCTTATCACGGATTTATGTAATTTATATTACATAAATCCGTGCCCTTATTAATTTCGATATATTTTATTTACGGTAAACCTATTGTTTAACACTGAAGTAAATAATCATCGAGTTGAATATTAGCATGTATATCTATAAGAATAACACAATATTAGAAATCTTCGACCAATCGGGAACTATTTTTTCGTTACGAAAATAAATGCGCCTGCCATTTCACAATCTTTACGCAATGACCTCCCCTTAATTTTTCGGCGTTAATGTACATATGAAGGGAAGTAACCGCTTCGAGGAGTTTGGACTACTTTCGGCACTTGCAAATAACAACATCAGGGTCTGAAATTTCGTTATTATTATTTGTTTGGTCTGACGACCCAAACAAATAAAAAATCAGTGGTTTCCCTTTAATGGGCCTTTCAATTAGCATATCATCGAAGTCATATTATCGTTGTTCATATTTTAAATAACAAATTTACTGGCATCAATCATCTGTGACGATGACAATTTTTTTGGTCACAAACGCTCTCATTTCTTTATGAATAATGTTGATTATGTTATTAACATGTTTGAACACAGTAATGGATTATAAACTATTTACGTAAGTATTATTACAATATTTAAAATAATTTCAACACTGTTATATTAAAACTCAATCAGGTTAAAAAGTATCATTCTATTGTAAATTTTTAAAGTAATGATGGATTATTTTCTCATACCTGTTAACATGAAAGAAGTTAAACCAGCTGCCAGTGTCAATGATACGATGATCAACATCTTATTCTGAAAAATATACGAGTCTAGTGTAAATGTCTCAGTTAAATCATAATCATTATATTCACATACAATATTTGTAATATTATATAAATAACACATGGGTTCGTGGGTAACAGTAAAAATATCATCCGGAGGAAAATACTACGCCTCGGGTAACAGTATTTTTACGAGGGATGATATTTTTACTGTTACACACAAATCCATGTGCTATTTTTTTATTACCCCGAACAAAAATACTGTGATGATCTGAAATGGTTAACTAAATCTAACTGTAACAAAGATAAACCAAGATTAACAATAACTAAACTGTTCATACCTTTTAAGTTTTAAGTGTACTTTAGGCCTACTTGAGAAGTTTTCTTTTTCTTTTATTCTTTAAGCAAGTGATGATATCTACAAATAATAAACATACAATAAGCTAGGTTTTATTTAGAAAACAAAACACTAACCCATTTACACGGTTATGATCAGTGAATTCTGATCCTTCTGTTTCCACAATATTCTTAGCATGGTTTGATATCCTATGTCTGTCCACCATATCTGTAACGTTTCACTGATTTAAATTGTTAAACAATCCTTTGTTGCATGCTTAAATCGTCTGCATGTTCCAGTGTGACACATAATCATTTACATTGCAATTACTTCCGTTGAAAATGGATGTTTACTTTTTGACTATTCAACAAAAAGATATTTTATACGCGAAAAGCACACCAGGGTGCGAACAACTAAATTTTATGAGTGTCATAGTTACTCGAGAGAAGAAATTGATGTCATATCGGGGTCTAACGTCGAAAATAAGAATGAATCGAGAAAAAATGGCGGCCATTTTATTTCATTTTATTTAGAAAATAGACCATGTGACCAGATTTTATACTGTTAAAAAATACCGTTACCTATGTAACAATACAAAATTCTTAGTCACGTGGTACACTTGCATTAACAGTAAAAATAACTCCAAGAGGCCTATGGGAAATTAGCATTACGAAAAAAGTGAGGGGTAATAAACAAGTCTAATATCACATAAGACATCCTTAGACCTGGTTAACACCGTTATTGTCATACGATAACTGCTTTTTATATCTAACAACATTAAAATTCTTTATTTGGTAAATTTTCAAAGTGAAAAACTATACATTTCTTTAATAACACAACATGATACAATGAGGTGACAAAAACTTGAATAAAAGTACAATGGGTCTCAAATAGCAATTTATTAACATAAGAGTAGGTTAAACTAACGAACAATGACATACAATACAGTATTTTCTAAATTCATAAAGACAAGTCATTTGACATTTTCAGAAATTAATTTATAGGGATAAATATTTGAGCTATTTTCGAACAATCGTTTTTATAAAAATATTGCTGCAATAGTATTCACATTCACATGGTCAGCTGACATTATGTTTAATAGATTCATATATTCTGGGTCAAAATCCGAACCGACTTTAGAAATAGTGTAAGCAAATTGAATCTTTTATGTTAAAGCCTTATTTCTTCTTGGTCCTTTATAATAAATAACAGTCTACTCCGATTAAGAACTACTGCAAACTGACTTAGAAATGATGCAAAATATTTAAAGCTGAGTATCTATTTTTAAAATACTTTTTGTAATAGATGTTGGTAACACTATTTTTATAGAGCAATGTTAGGAATATGAAGGTTTTGGTCTGTTTTGGATATAGTGCAATGCAGACGTTTGAAAATTTGCAAATGGAAACATAAAACAGATACCAATTGGATCTTAGAGTAAATGTGTTGATCTTTTCTATCTCGATTATTTTCAATATTTATTTTTTGTCCTTCTGCTAATTGATTGTTGAGGATCAGTGCCACTCAAGCCAGTACAAATGTGAATGACAGATATTGCACCTTTACATTATCTCTCATGAACAGAGTCAATAAAGTCAAGTCTGCAATATTTATATACCATTGTTGTTTCAGTGCTTCCGAGGGATCACCCCTTTTCCGGATTTGTTTAATGTTTCAACTAGAAGAAGCACTATTAGTGATATCGTGGAAAGAACGGGAATCACATATGCAACAGATTTAAATATATTATATGATGGCATTATTATGCTTTGAGCACGTTCCTAAGATATATGTTAGAGATGTTGATGTTTAAAATATTGTTTAGCTAAACGCTATGTATGACGTTGTCTAAATCGTCATAACCTAGCGTCGTTACGTAATCCGAGCCATTCCTTTTATATTTTAATGTTATTTTCATAATGTGTAAAAGAAAATTATTAACAATTGGATTTTTATATGTATAATATTAATTTTTCAATTTTAAATGAAATATTATTGGCTAATAGGAATCTAATATTACGTATTTTCTGATCACCCACGCATGTACTTGTATACATTGACTTGTATTACCTTTAAAAGTATAGTTTAATGAAGAACGATCATAAAGATGTTAAATAGTTAAACTCGTTTTTTTTCTCGTTCAATTCATCACTGTCTTCTATTAATCAATAAGGTATGAGTGTATGTTGTAATGTTGTCTTTACTTCTGAATCAATTAATTTAAGAATCCGAATTCATGTATCTAAAGAAGAACATCTTACTCCTCCGACTGACTGATTGAATGAATAAATGAACATGAAGAAACAACACTTTTGTAGTAATTCAATGTTAGATAAGTATTGTTAAAATCGATTAAAACTTTTGTTCTTTCCCTCACCTACTTATTCTACTTATTTTTTTTTTTTTTTTTTTTTTATTATTCTTTTATCCTTTTTTATATTCTTTTATTTACAGAACACATGAACACATTTAATCAGTTTAATTTACAAACACAAACGTATGCATATTCCGTTTTTTTAACACAGTGAATTATTTTCTATATCCGTTTCGTTCAGTCGCATACCGGTTATCCGTATAATATACTGAAAATGTGCAGACAATATACATACATAAAAACCAATACCATTTGCACGGGGGAGGAAGTGTTACACGAAGGATGGAGTTCTTATGATAACTTGTTCAGGGGTTCTTGTGATAACTGTCACGGAGTTCGTCGGAAAACATCTGTATATACTACAAAAACACTCGTTAAAAATGGTTATTTTCATCGTTCAAAAATGAGTTTTAGATGCTAAATTAAACTTTAATGATTAAGCTTGTCTTACATCTTGTATAATGTGTCAAAGCCTAATTCACATGCCATTTTTTAATCGCCTCTTGCTTCAAATCTGGTAGTTTTCAGTAAAATTTCAAAATAACTTGCCAATTCACAAGTTTTTACCTGTTTATTTCTGGTCTTCATCCTTGCCATACATAATTACCTAATTATAATGCAAAATTGCAATCATAAAGCACCGGCTAACAGATTTATAGCCGATTTTTCAAATGGCCCGGAGTTTTTGTGATAACTCTGAAGATGTCACAGAGTTCTTATGATAACTTTTGTTATTGCCAGTGTGCTTCTTGCGCTAAAACACAGCACGTTTTAGCGTTTATTATTATTCAATAAGATTGTAAATCATTATGAAATGCAGTACGATCATCCTTTGAACAAAAATGTGGATAAAATGTTGGTTTTAAGGGTCTGCAAAGGATAAATAGCTGAATGGCTATCATCTACAGAAAATATTGAACCAGCAATCACTGATATTCAGCAATATAATGGCTTAAACCACAAAACAAACATTTCTCAAAACGTACACGTTGTTCTCAGTTTCAAATGTTTTAAGCAACCACCTTTCTTAACCCATTACGTCATATACACGCCTTTTAACCCCCCCCCCCTTTTTGTTGTCTCTAATGGTGAAAAAATGCCTTAGTTAGGCCCCCAACACTTGTTTTTGTTTGAGAAATGATGTTAAAAAAGTGACCACTTTTTCGGCGCGGCCCCCCAACCAAAAGATACATCAGGGGGTTGCCAGAAGGGGGATGTGCCCCCATCTGTTTGGGGGGTTTGAAGGGGGGCGTAGTCCCCCTCATCGCCAAGAAAATTTTGGACTTGTGAGAGGCTATAAATAACCCCAGATTGATCATAAGGTAACTTGTAACCAACGCTGAAAAGCATTTGACTCTATCTCAATCCATTGAGAAGTTGCAGCACTTTGAAATCAATTTTGATGGAAAAAATCAACGCAAAATAGTGATTTTTGGCAATTTTGAGATGTCCCCTCGTTGCCATGGTAACAGAAAATTTAAACCTGAGCATGTTGTTTCAAGGACAATGGTCTAGTCAACATTTGTGCCAAGTTTGATTAGTGTTGAAGCAGTTTTTATAGTATTATAGCAATTTGAACTTGTAACGGGAGACTATTCAATGAAAAAAGCCATTTATCAAAAAATGCTCATGAAGTAATGGGTTAAGCAGACAATATATAGGCATGCTTCCCTTACCTAAGGGCTAAGTAATTTGTATCATTTTATACCGTAATAAATAAGTATATAACCAGGATAGTTTCCACACCTATGTCTTAAAAAAGTACGATACATGATAAACTACCGATCTCTCGAACAAATTTGAGCTGTCCCTCCAGGTTCAAGCGAACTTTTACTATATATTTTTGTTATCAATTACAGCAAAAGTAGCAGAGTTTCCTACACTAAGATTACATAGGGGAAATACTCATCAAACATCGACAGAGAAATATGCATGAAAATACCATATTTGAGTATTTCAAAGCGCATTTTATCACGTACATAAATGCCCTACTGGTTTCATAGAAGTTAACGGCACCAAATCGCATTTTTTAACAAAACATAAAAATCTGTCTACCAAAGAGTAAAAACTTTGAGAGAACAAAGTTAGGTACCTGTCCAGCATTATCATGTTTTAATGTAAAACAGTTGCTCTTTTATTTTACATTTTGATGGAATAAAGGCCTGAGATGTAACAACTTTGCTCACATTTATTCAAAATTTCAGAACCTTTTTTTATTTTGAATATAATTCAGTACCAATAAGCAATGTTAAGCTGGGTTTTCAAATACACATGTAGATAACTTCCCAAACTTTTCGTGTCGTCTGCAAATATATTGTTTAAATGTAGTGATTTAGCTAGAATGGGATTTCAGTTATTGTGCATGGGCATTCAAACTAGAATTTCCCAGGTGTTGCTTGTAAGTGTCGCAAATTCTGTAATGCAACTAAAACAAGAGACAAAACTTTGAAACATATTAATCGCTGTACTATTATAACTGCTGTGTTACATAGAAAACAATTGTTTCTTTGACTGATGCAGTAACATAGATGCTTAAATGAGAAAAAAAATAGCCAGTATGCCTGGAGAAAAATGATAAAGGGCCAGAATACTGCTAGAAGCCGGAAACTGCTAGGAAACCAGTATATAAATCCTTTTTCCAGTCTACAAAATCTGCGTAAAAAAAATACTATTGGTAAGAAATAATATCTCTTGAACTAAAATTCACTAAAAACCAACATTATATAATTATCCTATTTTTTTGCGCAAAGGATAAGCGTACTACATTTCATAATGATTTACAATCTTATTGAATAATAAAAAAACGCTAAAACGTGCCGTGATTTTGCGCAAGAAACACACTGGCAATAACAAAAGTTATCATAAGAACTCTTTGACATATTCAGAGTTATCACAAGAACTCCAGAACATTTGAAAAATCAGGAATATATCTTTTAGCCGGTGCGTTATGTTTGCAATTTTGCATTATAATTAGGTAATTATGTATGACAAGGATGAAGACCAGAAATAAACAGGTCAAAACTTGGCAAATAATTTGGAAATTTTACTGAAAACTACCAGATTTGAAGCAAGAGGCGATTAAAAAGGCATGTGAATTAGTTTTTGACACATAATACAAGATGTAAGACAAGCTTAATCATTAAAGTTTAATTTAGCACCTAAAACTCATTTTAAAGATGAAAATAACCATTTTTAACGAGTGTTTTTGTAGTATATACAGATGTTTTCCGACGAACTCCGTGACAGTTATCACAAGAACTCCTGAACAAGTTATCATAAGAACTCCATCCTTCGTGTAACACTTCCTCCCCCGTGATTTGAGATAAGATCGCATTTTAGCTAACCGTTTAAACACGAAACACAAACACGGGGGAGGAACTGTTACACGAAGGATGGAGTCTTTATGATAACATGTCAGAAGTTCTTGTGATAACTGTCACGAAATAAATAGGTAAATACTTTCAAACTGGCAAATAATTGGAAGTTTTACAAGATTTAAAGCAAGAGGCGATACAAAAGTGGCCTTTGAATAAGTTTTGGACACCTAATACAAGATGGAAGGCAATCCTAATCATTTAAGTTTAAATTATCACATAAAACTAACTATTTAACATCTTTGACGAGTGTTTTTGTAGTATATACAAATGTTTTCCCAAGTTTTCATAAGAACTTCATCCCCCGTGTAACACTTCCTCCCCCGTGACATAATCAGTTAGTTTATTTCGATATATTATGTATACGTCGGCCTAAATAATGTTTATCCATATACATTAATCTAAATAGAAAGGTACACGATTGATATATTATTCGTGTTTTATTAAACAACATGTACTGTGTTGTCGATAGTTTGGATTAAGTTACTTAAACAATTCTATGACGCCGGCAATGCTCTTTGTACTGGTAGTCAATTATATTTTAAAATTCGAATGTCATCAGCGAATCAAGGGAAATAAAAGAAGTCAACATATTGCTTGTTTGCAATATGACTGTAAGAGTTAGTTCCCTAGAGTATTCGTGTCGATATGCATTTGTCCATACAGCAATGGGGAAAATTTAAAACATTATTTTGTTTATCTTTTTTGTTTTAACAAAATCACACTGTTTTCAAATTTTTCAAATAAAATAGCTTTTCTGATGTACAACATGTCACAGAGCTTTAAGGGATTAGAGTAAACGTTTAACTGAAGTGATAGTGCCATGTCTGAATATCATATTTTTTTATCATTATCTAACTTTATCTATATAATAAATAACTTGCCAATGAGCCAGTCTATAGCCGATCGTTCTAAAACTTAACCGTTGAGAGAGGTAACGAGTAACGACTGAGGCAGTGTCACTCACTTCATTTGCTCCACCTCTTTTGAAGTATGCTAGCATTTAGTCTTCGTTGACAGGACGGAAGGGAACCAGGACAACTTTGATCAATATCACTTGTCGAATCATTGAATTACAAGTTACAAAGCCTTAACATCGCCCACTATCAGAGATGCGGTTCTCCCTCAACCGTTAAGAAAGTACGCCAAACTCTGCGCACCGGTTACGCTACGGCAATAAGGGGAGATCACTGCAGAACAGTTTTTCCTCAAAATCATTCGAACATTATGCAATTCGTACCAATATTTAAATGGACATATTCTCGGCACATATTGTCTTGAATGTATTTTAAGTATACCAATCATTTCAATTTTACTTGTTATCCAATTTATTTCGTTTCGACCAGACGTTTTTCAATCTTTGTCGCAGCAGAAAAAAACATTTCAGAATTACAGACGTGACATTACTTTGTAAATTTATGCATTTGATTCTTCTTTTTCACAAAAAAAGGCAACTTGATTATCAAACATTGAGAACATACCAAGAACATGGAGAAAAAAAGATTTGTGCTTCGGATGTTCAACTGTTATAAAGAACGATTTTCAATGCTGATTGACTGTTCACATCAATTTGCGGCGTCTTTGACGTGCAGCATCAACATTTAACTTGTTATCAAACTAATACACGTTGGAGTTAGTTATTACACACAGATAACAAATAACCGGATAGGGAAATTTACGATGATTCTTATTGTTGGAATAAATGTAATCCGAGTGTAGGTTCAATTGATCTCTAGGGCGATCTGTCCAAAACGGCGCAGGGGATATGATAATAGTTTACTTCCGTCCGTTTTCCCAATCTAATAGTTGGATAGAGGC